CTGGAGGAAGAGGCGACCCTTAACCCTGGCAACCCCAGTGAGTGTTTTCCTTCTCCTTCTGTGCTTCCAGCTAAATTCATAAGCCTCAAAGGACAGGAGGAATCTGTTTCTTCATCTTTCCCCCAAAATGTGGCTTGGTTATAGTGCTTCCAGCTAGGGACAGACTACATTCACGAGGGTAGCTTCTACTATGTGACAAAGAGACCCCCAAATCTAATGGCTCAAATACAAAAGAAGTGCATTTCTTGCCTGGGTAGCAACACCAGGCCTATGGGCTGCGCACAGTCATCCAGGGACCAGACGGACAGAGGCCATCTTTAACAAGAGGCTTCCAAGGTCTCTTTTAGGGGTCACCTCCATTCCCACCAGGTGAAGGGGTTAGTACACAGAGGTTGTTCTAGTGAGGCCTGGAAGTGGTACACCTCCCTTCTGCTTTCATGCCGTGAGCTGGAACTCATGGACACACCTGTGAGAGTGGCCACGAAATGCATTCTAGCACATACCCAGGAGGAAGAAGGACGCTGGTGAGCTAGGACTTGGCCTCCCTGGTTTTCTTCCTGTGTCTCTGCTGGTCTCTTCTCAGCCCCCTTGCAGGCTCCCACTGTGCCTCTGTCCTGTAAACACTGGTGGCCCCAGGCCCTCACTGCACCTACACCCACAGCTTCAGCTGACAGCAGCCTGGGGTGCAACCCAGACAGCAGTATAGGTCTTCTCCCAGCCTAAATGAACCCACCCTGACCGTGGCTGCTCTGAAAACACGGCCCCAGCTGTAGCAAGGCATGAGAAGATGATGGGCCCAATCGGGTAATCTGCTTTCTGGCATTTATTGACGAAATCTGAAAGTGGGGCATGTGATAAGGAGAGCCAGAGATCAAAGGGCATGGACACAAGGGCCAGAAAGGTCTGGATGGCCAATAGCAAACTGAGCTTACAAGGAAGGAGAGACTGAGTGCAGAGGAGGCAGAAGAGGGAGGACAGGGGTGCCTGGGGGGCTCCACTGGTTACGTGTCTGACTCTTGATTTCGGCTTAGGTCATGATCTCATGGTTCACGAGTTCAAGCCCCACATCAGGCTCTGTGATGACAGTGCAGAACCTGCTTGGGATTTTCTCCCTCACTCGTGCTCTTTCTCTCTCTCTCTCAAAAATAAATTAAATAAACTTAAAGAAAAAAGAAGAGAGGGAACAAAGCAGAGAGGATGCTGAGTCATCACACACACCTAGCGGCCCCTAGAGCCTCCCCAGGTCAAGGAGGTTTCTGGCATCTGTCCAGAGGTTCTGAACACTAAACCTATTTTTTTATTTACGTAATAGAAGTGAGTCTTTGTTCCTGGGGCACCTGGGTGGCCCAGTCATTTAAGTGTCCAACACTTGATTTCAGCTCAGGTCGTGACCTCACAGTTGTGAGATTGAGCCCTGACTCCCACTCCCGTTATTGGGCTCCGAGCTGTGGGCTCGCTCTCTCTCTCAGCACCTGGGTGGCTCTGTCCGTTAAGCGTTTGACTCTTAGTTTCAGCTCAGGTCATGGCCTCACGGTTCATGGGTTCGAGCCCCACATCAGGCTCTGTGCTCACCATGTGGAGCCTGCTTGGGATTCTCTCCCTCTGCCCTTCCCCCACTTGTGCTGTCTCTGTCTCTCTCAAAATAAATAAATAGACTTTAAAAAAAGAAAGATTCTCTCTCTCCCCCCCACCCCTCCCCCTCTTGCATTCTTCCTCTCTCTCTCTCTCTCTCTCTCAAAAAAAAAAAAAGAACATCACAGGAGCATTTGTCAAAAGTGGAAGGGGGTGGTTGGGTAAAGGTTGTATGGGAATTCTTGCAACTTTATGTTGAAATTGTTTCAAAATAAAATTATTTTTTATTTATTTATTTTTAATGTGTATTTATTTTTGAGACAGAGAGAGACAGAGCATGAACGGGGCAGGGTCACAGAGAGAGGGAAACACAGGATCCAAAGCAGGCTCCAGGCTCCAAGCTGTCAGCACAGAGCCCGACATGGGGCTCGAACCCACGGACCGTGAGATCATGACCTGAGCCGAAGTCGGATGCTTAACCGGCTGAGCCACCCAGGCGCCCCCCAAAATACAATTATTTTTTAAAGAGAAGCAGGAATATCTCCTCTCTCTTCCCCCATCCACCCGCCAGTTACAGAGAACATGACAGGAGACTCTGAGGTCCCAGATCAGTGACAGAACCAGCAGAGGGAAGGGGCCTAGGTCCCTGGACTGCTATTGCATAAAATCCTCCCTTCCCTTCCTAGTCAGGTACACTACTTTGGACTTTACGCGGGCAATAAACTTCTACTGTCTGAAGCCACTGAGCTGGGGGGTCGGGGTGGGGGGGCTTTTACTACATTATCCTAACTCAACAGCTGGCTGCACTTCTCTGCGTGAGGTCCCACAGACACTCCAAGGAAACAGCTGGTCCCTAACCTTGCTAGCCATTCATTATTGTCCTAGTCAGGAATTCAGGCACCGTTTGCCCTTTCTCTCTCTCTGCGTTGGCCCGCACGCAGTCAGTGCCACCTCCTGTGCCCTGGCTTTGGTCTTCGCCATGCCCGGCAGTCCTGCTTCGGCCGTCTTCTCCCTCCCTGGGCCAGTGGAGCTGGTTCCCCAGCCCTCCGTCCTGCTCCTTCCGGACTCCCCTCCACTCAGCGCTGCCAGAACACACTCGTGGTTTCACACTTCTGCATCCCAGTTCCTGCTGCTCTCAACCTGGAACGCCGTCCCCGTTTCCTGCCCTCCTTCCGGGGTTCGGCTCCTAAGACACCTAGATGAGGCTTTGCCTGATCCCCCCCTCCCTGGGCCCGAGGACACAGCCTTCCACCTGAGCGGCCAGGGCTGCCCTGCTCGTCACGCTAATGGGCTGGCACACCAGTCTCCCCAGAACACTGGGCTCCTGGGTGCCCACTGGAATGCATCGTTCCCTCCCCCTCTCAGCTAAGTCAGACCTCAGCCCTCACCCCCTGCCCCCGTTAATTTACTGTGGACTGACTTTGCCCCCTGGGCCATTCCTACTCTGTGAAGGGGAGAATGACAATCACAGGAGATGGTCACGTAAAGGCCGCCCAGAGTTGGCACTCCACAGGTCGGTGTTAGAAGCCAAGCACTTCCAGAAATTCTCACTGCTGAGAATTAGCCCCCCAGTCATCCCCCAAAAGGTATTCAACCTGTCAGTGACTTCAGTCATTTTTTGAGCGCCTACCTGTGCAGGGCCCTGGGTACATAGTACATGTTTTGACTTGCAGGGTTGGTCTTAGCTCCTCGGGGCTGCCTTGGTCTCATTGATAGCTTTGAACTCCCCAACCCACCCCCAGGGTCCAGGACAGGCCTGGACACATCCCGGACACTCTGTAAACACTTGCTGCCAGGCCAAGATCCCCACCTTCCAGGCTCTGCAAGGCCCACCCAGTGCTGACTGGTGCCAGTCAGGACCGGAGGCCAGGCTCAGTCCGACACAAGAGTAGGCCATGAGCCAATGCAAGCTGGTGCAGCCACTCTGGAAAACAGTATGGAGGTTCCTCAAAAAACTAAAACTAGAACTACCCTACGACCCAGCAATTGCACTACTAGGCATTTATCCACGGGATACAGGCGTGCTGTTTGAAGGACACCAGGTGCCCATGTTTATAGCAGCGCTTATCAACAATAGCCAAAAGTATAGAAAAGAGCCCAAAATGTCCATCGATGGATGAATGAAAAGAAGATGTGAGTATATATATATATATATATATATATATATATATATATATATACACACACAATGGAGTATTAGTTGGCAATCAGAAAGAATGAAATCTTGCCATTTGCAACTACCTGGATGGAATGGAATTAAGTATTATGCTGCTTGAAATTAGTCAGAGAAAGATAAATATCATAGGACTTCACTTTGTATGAGGACTTTAAAGAGACAAAACAGATGAACATAAGGAAGGGAAGCAAAAACAATATAAAAAAAACAGGGAGGGGACAAACAGAAGAGACTCACCACAATATGGAGAACAAATGCAAACTGAGGGTTTTGCTGGAGGGGTGTGGGAGGGGGATGGGCTAAATGGGTGAGGGCATTAAGGAAGCTAGTCCTGAAATCATTGTTGCACTAGATGCTAACTAATTTGGATGTAAATTTTAAAAAATTAAAAATTAAAAATTAAACTAAATTAAAAAAAAAAAGAGTATGCCATGAGCTCACACCCCAACTGAGAAAGGAGGAAAGGAAAGGTGTATTTCTGTGCCTGATGGTTTCCTACTTCCAGGGCAACTTTCAAAACATAGAAGAAAAAAAGAGAACCTGCTAGATAGAAGTAGAGATTTTCTCCTATACATCCTCTTTATTCCCAACCCCCAACTAGACACATTTTCCCCTGTGAGATCCCTGAGGCCCATTTCATGGGCTGGAAAGTAAAGGCACTGTGTCAGAGCGTCCCTGGAGGTCAGCGACACTCAACATATGAAGACCCACAAATCCTAACTTTCAGGGACTCCACCTAGAGGTGCAGTAGAACAGAAAGATTTTCTTTTCCTCTTGTCTTTGGTCTTCAGAGCAGGCCTTTCTGAGGAAGCCCTAACCCTAACCCTAACCCTAACCCTAACCCTAACCCTAACCCTAACCCAGAGAAGCAGGTGCTCCTGGTAGCCAGCGGCCATCAGGAGACAGGGAACAGATGCAGAGCCAGGACTGGGCCTGCCTTCCAGCCAGCACCTGTCCCTCAGGACCAGGGCTGTTGGGCAACTGTACGGGGCTCCCCAGAAGGAGAAATAACAGAGTTTAGTGCCAGGGGGCAGAGAGAGGTGAGGGCTCCAAAAAGCACCCCCCCAAACAGGCTTCCAGGCTGGAGACCCATGGGGCCGAAGGGAAGTTTGGTCCAGATTCCCGAGCCGGACGAGATGGGTGGGGATGGGGAGGCAGCCCAGCTGGGGTGTGCCCGGGCAGGGTCCTGAGGCCGCTACCCTCCGCTCGTCCTGTGGCATAACATGGTGGCTCTTCTCTCCAGAGGGCTGGCTCACAGCTTGCTCCGCGGGGCCTCCGCCAGCGGCCGCTGCAGCCGCCACACCACCCTCACTGGCTCAGTGGCGCTGTCCAGCTCCCGGAGGCTGCCCAGGTCACCCATCTGACTATACCGCTGCAGGGCTGGCTGGAGCACCGTGATGGGAATGCTGAAGTTCAGGTGAGGGTAGGTGGCCCCTGTGTTATTGTCCCGGGTGTTGCTGGCCACGATGCCTGTTGAGGAGTCCAAGAGGAAAGGGGGGATGAGCCAGAGGGCACACGGATGGGAAGTGAGGCCCATCTCCAGCAGGGAGGCCCTCGGACCACCGGGGGCTTGAACCCCCCTCATAGTGACACACACCCAGCCTCCTTCATGGCCTCTGGCTCCCACACCCCAGTGCCCCTTCCCCGTTTTACTCTCTCCTTAACCGTCAGTACCTAACAGACAATGTTGCACTTCTTTTGTGACCTTTCTCTCCACCTAGTGTCGGCCCCACGGGCTTTGCTCAGGCAGGCTCCCCAGTGCCTGGTGCAGGGTCGACGCTCAACAAATACTTGTTGACTGAATGAGTAAGTGAATCAGACCCCCACGCAAGTTTTTGGTTTGGCCTGCTCAGTGCACGTGTATGTGTGTGCATGTGGATGTGTTTTGTCGTTGTCGTCGCTTTTAATTTTAAGGAGGCTCCGCGGGTTTGAACTCACGGCCTTAAGATCAAGAGTCACATGCTCGACGACGGAGCCAGCCAAGCCCCCTTCTGGATGTACTTTTTTAGGCTTACAGGAGCCTTGCCAAAATGGTACGGAGTCCCTGTGCACCCTTCATCTAGCTTCTCCTCATGTCACTGCAAAAAAACAACGATCAAAACCAGGAAATTAACCCTGGAACAACGCTGTTCACTGACGTGCAGAACACATTTGGATTTCACCAGTGATTCCACGAATGCTTTTTCTATTCCAGGATCTCATCCAGGGCCCCAGAAGCGTCTAGCTGTCATGCCTCCTGGGTCAGTTTCAGTCTTTCCCTATCTTTCGTGGCCGTGACACTTAGAGGAGTACAGGTTACTTATTCTGCAGGACGTCCCTCAATGTGGGGTTACCGGATGTTTTCTCCTAAGGTTAAGGTTTTCCGAGATTGAAAATGCCGTCCCGTGCCCTTCTCAGGGCACCCTGTCAGGAGGTGCGTGACGTCCAAAAGCACTTCTTGAGACGCTAACTTTGATCACTTGGCTAAGGTGGTATATCTGCCAGGTTTCTCTATTGCAGGCTTACTGTTTTCCCTCTTGTACGAAATATTTTAGGATCAGGCAAATATCCTCGTTTCTACTTTCCATTCATCGGTGGGTCCTGCCCGCAGCAATTCCTTCTGTGGTGTCCTAACAGTGATTTTCTACTTCCCTCATTTCTTCTACATTTATCACCTGGAATTCTTCTGTCAGGAAAAGCTGTCACTTGTCTCCATTTCAAGATGCATTCAGTTATCGATGTCAGTGTGGACTCAGATACTCACTCTTTTCTTTGAGTTACCATCCAACCCTATCGCTGTGTGGTTTGCAGCTCAAGTTGTTCTACTGGGAGCTCCTTCAAGTCAGCTCTTCATTCGTCACACATCTGATGGGCCGATCATTCTGTCGTTAGCCTTTCCTTCCTCTCCAGCACCACTAGGTGCTCTGGGCTCATCTTGGATCTTCCCTGCCTGAGCCCAGGAGCGAGTCAGTTCCTGGCGCCTTTTATTAGAGAAACCAAGGTCTGGGTTCGCGGTGTGGTCATCACAACTGGGGTGTCACTGCTTCTAGCCCCTCTCAGCAGACAGAGCTAGATTTTTTACACACACGCACACGTACCCACCAACTCATGCCTGCACACGTATCCACACTTATGCCCGTATCCACGTATCAGTATATGTCCAAATCAAAAGATCTAACAACCCCGTATTAAACAAACAAAAAGGTCTACCGTTGCTAGTAAAAAAAATTGCAGAATCAAGCAATGTTAGGCCCACATTCCTATGGAATGAGGCGCCAATGTGCTGCAGCCGAGTGGTGTTCACCCCGGTTCACCCCTGACCCTCCATCCCGGCCGTCTTCACTCACTCACCCATTCGTTTACCTGTGACTCTTGGATGAACCCAACTCCTGAGTTTCATAGATTAACTAAGATTAAGGGACTTACCTAAGGCAGAGAAGGAACTAGACCTCAGATCTCTTCCCTCCCTGCTCAGCATCCGCTCCTCTCCACTCCCAGGAGCACAAGTGCCCGAAAACCTTGGCTAACTGCCCCTTGGGCGTAAGGCCCACCATCTTCCCGGGCCGAGGGTGGCTCCCGGGGGCTGCACGCCCAGCCCTCACTAGATGGGACTGAGGCTGTGGCAGGGGAGGGGCTGGGAGAGGGCCAAGGAGCTGGTTACCCAGGAGGTCTCCTGTGCGGGTGGAGAAGAGGGGTCCCCCGCTGGAGCCGCCATGCACGGCACACGTGGTCTGTAGCATCACCGGCGTGTCATCCACCTGCACCACAGCTGACAGAATGCCCGAGGTCACCGAGGGCCCGCAAGCCTGGCCGAAGACGCCGAAGCCCACCACGCTGACAGCTTCGCCTGCCAGGGAGGAAAGGAGGGTGAAGCTGGGGGGCCGTCTCTGCCTCTCCAAAGTTCTGAACCCTCTCTGCCCTTCAGGCTGCTGTGAAGATACTCCTACCTCCGGGGAGTCTGCCCCAGGTCCCCACTGGACTTCCGCTGATCTCCCAGCACCTGCTCACCACTTGTCCTCAGCATCAGACTACTCTCCAGCCTTCATTTCCCTGCAGGACCAGTGAGTTACTTTTTAGGGTTCCTGGCACCCACCCCGGTGCTCAGTCAACGCTCGTGAAATTAACACCCGTCTCCTCCTCGGACTAAGAAGCCTTGGTGAAAAAAGGAGTGGTGATGAGGGCTCCAAGCTGCCCTCCAACTGCCTTTACCGAGTGCTCTGAATGCACAGGGCATGCAGCTAGATGCTTTACAGGCCACATCTCACTGCACTCCTCGCAATGCCCGGGAGTAGGGAGCACTATCCCCATTTTACAGATGTGAAAACTGAGGCAGAGAATACTCAGTTGCCTGTCCGAGGACACAGGGCTAGCAAGTGGCAGAAGAGACGCCAGCATAGAGAGCTTGTGGCCTTTGCTGTTCCATCACGCCGCATCTACACAGTGAGGCCTCTGGAACTTCCAAGGTGGCGTGCCCCGCCAGTGGAGCCTCAAAAGGGCAACACCGCTCTGGCCAGCTGGCAGGAGCCCCCAAGCTCAGCCGCTCCACATGACACTGCTGCAGGGCCGCAGGAAACAGGGTGCCCTATGCTTCGGCAAGGATTCTCCCTGCCCCCCAGGACCTGGGGCATGCCGGGCACAAGCAGAGAAGCCTCCAAGAGCAACTCCAGCCAAGGCACTGAAACCAGGATGATTTCATGCCAGCTTGACGCCACCCTGCCCCACGCCTCCAGCAGGGGTGGGGCAGGGGGCCCGCCTGGGGGACTGGCCCCCCGATCTAGAGGGTGAGAATGTCCAACACTGACTGTGCTTCCTGAGGTCCGCCCCACACCAGAAGCCCTCTCGTCCTTTACCTTCATGGAAATGCTCGGCAGGCACCGGCAGGGAGACATCGGGTAGGTCCTCCTCCAGGCTCACCACCGCTATGTCGTAGGGCGATGTCTCCTGGGTGGCAAATACCACTTGTCCCCAGATCGCAGCACTCCTGGGAGCAAGGGAAACAAAATGACAGGCTAGCATGCTGACCCGTGAGTACCGGGAGGAAGCAAGGGGATGAGAGTGACGGTAAAAACACGGACTTGGGAGTCCAAAGATGTGGCATCAGCCCTGAACCGTACCAGGCCAGCACATGTGGGCACGTCACCTGGCCATCCTGTGGTACTTCCAAATGTGCATCGCCAACTGTAACGTACTTCTCCACTAGCTTCCTGCACTTCACCGGGTTTCCTGAACACCTGACACCTGGAGAGCACTGCAGGCCGGGGCTGCTGTGAATGCTCTGGGCACATCATCTCCTTTAGTTCTCCCAGCGGCCCTCAGAGCTAGGCGCTGCAATCATCGCCATTTTAAATGGTGCATTTGAGGGCCAGAGAGGTTGAGTAACTTTCTCAAGGTCACACAATAGGTGGCAGAAGCCAGGGCAAACATTCCCAGTGTTCTCCTTCACTGCCACACTTGAGGCAAACAATGCTGCCAGTCCTGTGTCCCCGTTTACATACATAAATGCTAGCACATCTGCAGCTCTTACTGTGGGCCGGGCTCTGTTCCAAGACTTCACATGTCAATTCATGGAAAGGCAGCTTACACTGACTTGCCCAGGTTCACACAGGGGCTCCCCACTACATACTCTGTAGGGATAGCTTCCAGGGGACCTGGTGGGTTCCCTAGAAGCAAGAGTATGTGTGTGGTGAAAACGGGGTGGAGGATGGGGCACCACACATACAGGGAAGTCCTCATTATCAGTCTTCCTTATAAAGTCGCGGCTGTCCTGTTGGCCACCAGTGGGAAACCCTACGGTGAAGCTGGGCTGGGTTAACCCTGGAAATTCGGTAGAGGGATCTGGAAAGGCCCGGGCTGCGTGGCTAGGCTGAGGTAGGTACAGAACTTCAGGCGTTAACACCAAGGTGCTATACTGCTCTGCTCCTGCCTAAGTTAAGTGCCTGGGACCACAGCAGAAATAGAACAGGTACCAGGAAAACACAAGCCAGGAAGCCAAGGCTGCTGAGCAACTGGAGGTAAAGGAGGGCAAGAGTGCTTTTCCCTGCAGAGAAGGAACAAACGGCTGAAGTCCCAACCCGGCTGCCAGGATCAACCAAAGACTGTTCAAAATACATCTGTGTGCTCGACCTCACTCCCACATTCTAATTAGGTGGAGCCCCACACCCATCATTTTTGTCCAGCTGGGAAGATCTGCTTAAGATCTAAGAGAGCAATCAAGTAAGAGTAACAGCCCCCTCTCATCACCCCAGGAAGGCAGCATCCTGGGCCTCTGGGACTTCACTACCGCTTTCAGGGGAGAAAGAACAGGGCTAGGAAGTCTGCATTCAAGGAGCCAGTGCTGTGTGCCTACTCTAAGAGCAGTCAGATTTCAGAAAGAAAACAGGCTGGGCAGGAGGGGGACGGGAGTCGGGGGGGGGGGGGGACCGAGGGGACGGGGTGCTAA